GCTGCTTGAGATGGACTATGTACATGGGCTGCTCCTCTCATAGCAGAAGTCCACCACCATCATCTCCCACCACTCAGCTTTAAACAGGGCCTGCAGCCTGTCCTGCAAAAAGCAGACCCTTCCCTCCAGTGGTTCCCAGCCTTCCTAATGCTGCCGCCAGTTCCTCATGCTGTGGTGACCCCCAGCCATAAAATTATTTTTCTTGATACTTCATAACTGTAATTTTACTACTGTTATCAATTGCAACGTAAGCTAGGTGGTGGTGACACACGCCTTTAATCCCAGGACTCTGAAGGCAGAGGCAGGAAGATCTCTGAGTTAAGGCCAGCCTGGTCTACAGAGAGAGTTCCAGGACAGCCAGGACTACACAGAGAAACCCTGTCTCATAAACAAATCAAAACAAAGCAACTCCTCGAAACCTTTAAATATTTGTGTTTTCCTATGGTCTTAGGTGACCCCAAAGGGTCGAGAGCCACAGGTTGAGAACTATAGATCTGGTACATGAACCAGAACTAACCCTGACTTTGAAAAACATCATCACTCAGCTTCCTGTTTGCATTGGAGTCAGGTCAGAATAACCTTTTTTAAAATTTAATTGCTGTGTGTGTGTGTGCGCGCGCGCGCGCGCGCGCGCATGTGTATGCACATGTGCGTGTGTGTGCATGTGAGCATGCACGTGTGCATGTGCGCGTGCGTGCGTGAGTGCGTGCGTGTGTGTGTGTGTGTGTGTGTGTGTGTGTGTGTGTGTATGTGTGTGTACACGAACCATGACACACATGTGTAAGCCAGAAGACAGCTTGCAGGGGCCAGTCTCTCCTCTCACCATCTGAGTCCCTGAGACGGCACTCAGGTCGTCAGACTCGGTAGCAACTACTTCTGCCTGCTCAGCTGTCTTGCCAGTCCCAGGATTAGCACTCTTTAGTAAAAATGTATTTTTCTGGGCTGGAGAGATGGCTCAGGGGTTAAGACCACTGGCTGTTCTTGAAGAGAACCCAAGTAGTTCCCAGCACCCACGTCAGGTGGTTCACAACCACCTGTAACTCCAGCTCCAAGGGATCTGATGCTCTCTTCTTGCTTCCCAGGCACTGGCACACATGTGTGCGCACACGCATGTGTGCACACACACACACACAACAAAAGTTAAAAGTAAAAAGTGTGTTTGTTAAGAGCTTCGCAAAATTTTACACTAAGAAGAATTTTTTAAAGTTACTTTTCTGTGGGCAGTGAGATGGCTCAGTGGTGAAGGTCCTCATCTTCCACCTTGTTTAGAGACAGGATCTCTGGCTGGCGGCAGGATACACCAGGCTAGCCCACCATGAGCTTCTGTGGACTCCCTATCCCCACCTCCCATCTCACTCTAGGAGTGCCAGGATTGTAAGCACTTGATATCGTAACTCGTGGCTTTAAATGGGAGCCGGGGATTCAAATTCCGGTCTTCATGTCTGCGCAGCAATTTCCTCCCCCACTGAGCGTCCCCAGCCTGTTATGGGCTGTTCAACAGCACCCGATTCACAACAGAAGCGACATCCCGGGAACTCGAATCCTTAAGCGCATCTTACTTGGAACCTACCCATGTTCTCCTTTCTCTTCTCTGTAAAAACAAAGTGGGGGGCTGGAGGGGGGCTTACACCTGTGGGGTTGTTGGGTACCACTTCCCTTTTACTTCCTACAGATTCTCAAAGCTGATCGCTCAGGCCTCTTCCTAGACCCTTAAACGCTGTGTGGCCTTAGAGGGACACCGTCAGCAAACTACTGACTCGAGGCCCAGTTCTCACACTTCGTCTCCGGGACTTTCACTCTTTCCGAGGGCCAACTTGTCCCCAAAGTCCCGGCCAGGAGCTCACTAACTTGTGCTTCATCAGCACCTGACTCTATTTCCCATAAGAACAGAAAAACAAACGTTATAACGACTCCAGGAGCCGTGAGAGGTTGTTTATTATCGAGGAGGGAATCGAGGGAACGCCTCTGTGTCTCCCTTAGCTTGTCACCCTCAGTTGTATGACTCAGGACAGCGCTAAGATGACAAGGTGCTCTTCTCAGGAACCCAGACATCCTGGGAGACGTTTGACCACAATCCCTGGCCAGCCAAAGGGCTCAGCCTCAGCGAGGAGGTGAACCGGAAGCTGATGACACCTGCCCAGGTAGCCGGGAACAGGCCTGGGGCTCAATCAACATAGCAGATGCCCGGGGCAAATTTCACCAGACTGCCTCTCCCTCTAGGCCTGTGGCCGCTTCACCCTGGAGGTTCCACTCTCAGCTTAATTCATTAGACACCCAAGAAGAACAAAGGTCCCCATGTCCGTCTGGAGCCCCCAGCCTGGGCACGAGGACCGTCCTGGGGCCTAAGCCGCAATGCTCCAGGCGCAAAGCCGCGGAACTGGGTGGAGGGAGCAGGAGAAAACGCCGGTACCTGTGCGTCCAGACGGGAGGCATCCCTTTCCCAGGCTGGGCTCCTGGTTCTTCGGGGTATAGCTCCGTCCCAGCCCAGCGCCCCCAGCCCCGCCGCGGCAGCTGCAGCATCACCCCGCGGGGCGGGGCTGTGACGTCATGGCTGCATCCTGCCGCTTGGTCCCGCAGAGCATCCTTAAAGCAGCAACCGCGCCAGCGCACCTTTGGGGACAGCCCAGGTCGATGGGCAGAACGCAGAAACAGGAAGCACTGTGACTTGGTGGGGCCCATCCTCAAAAACCATGTAATAGTTTACTTTTCCGTGGTCGTAAATGCATTATAAAAGCGCTTGCCCGAGCCTGTGAGCGTTCTCCCTGGCCCCATTTTGAAGGAAATGCATACGTTTTTGTGTCTTTAATTGTAAGTAAACAGTCATGTGCGCATTTATAGGCAAACATGTGCTCCCTAAATATTGTGCCCACTGCACTAAACCAGTCACCAGAAGTATCACATTCATTGTTCTGGCCACAAATCCATCAGGTGGCTGAGCTGTGCCATGCTTTATTCTAGACCTCCTGGTATAAAGAAAAGAGAGGGGTGGACTTCCTGACCTCAGGGTTGATAGGTTAGGGAGGAAGATACACATTTAATAGGATAAATAATATAAGTAGGGTCTGGAGAGATGGCTCCGTGGCAAAGGCGCTTGCCAAGCAAGTCTGGAGATCTGAGTTTAGTTCCTGGAACCCACTAAAGGTAGAAGAGGAGACAACTCCATTGAGTTGTCCTCTGGCCTCCCCCATGGCATCTGCGTGCGTGCGCGTGCACGCGCGCGCGCGCGCGCGCGCACACACACACACACACACACACACACACACACAAAACGTGAAGACGTCTTAAAGAGATAAAGTATATAAATGGTATGCCAGAAGACACAACTCCCTCAAGCACAGGAAATCTCAGATGGACGAGCTAGGTCTGAGAGACCATGGTGACATTCATGGGGTGCTGCTGCCCATACCAATGACTGTAGCTGAGACAGGCCGTGTATTTGAATGTTCCTGAGAGCCTTTCTAGCTACTACACAGACACACACGTGTGCAGACATACACACAGTCTTTACTTGCCTAGCAATCCAAAACCCTTTAAAAACAACAACAACAACAAAGAGAACAGCTCTATCGGGTGATAAACAACTCAAGGGAGTGGGCTTATTCTGGCCTCCAGTTCTAGAGGAGGCCATGGAGACCGGAGTGTGACGCAGCTGCTTACACCACATCCACATCAGGAAGCAGAGAGAGATGAATGCTGGTACCCAGCTCACTTTCTCCGTTTTATGCAGTCCAAGCCCACATGGGATGGTGCTGCCCAGATTCAATGTGGGTTTTCCCTACTTAATGAACCTGGCTAGCCTAGTAACCCCCTCACAGCATGCGCAGAGGTTTGTCTCCCAGGAGAATCCAGATCCCATGAGGTTGGCGATCAGTATTAACTGTCACATCAACTCCAGTTGCTGAGAAAGCAGTTGCAGACATGGGACTGA